ATTGTTCTGTTCTTACCTGAGTCCTCAGGCGATGTGGCTGGCTAAACCAGTCAGGCATCAGAGCTTTGTCCCGCACTCCTGTCAGTGACAGCCATGCAGGTATCATCTTACCAGACCCTTCCTCCCAGGTCACCATTCTCCAGCTTCAGCTCTCCAGCCAGGGCCAAGATGGCAGCCAGGGCCAAGATGGCAGCCAGGGCTGGACAAGAGGCAGTGGGGAGGCATGGTGGGAGGTCACAGGAAAGGCAGTAGAAGTTCCGTGGGTTGCTGTGGCACAGGGAGGGTCCTGGGCCTTGTGGAGCATGGGATCCTGGGCCAGCTCATCTCTGTTATCTGGAAACGGGGACTCAGAGCCCAGCAGCTCTGTCAGGGTGCAGTTCTCATGAGGGAAATGCTGACTTCAACAAAGGCCCCTTCTTGGCCTCCCAGCCTCTCTCGATCCTTTCAGAAGGCTTCATTTGGAAGCCCAGGCTGAGGTTGAGTGGAAAGAGAATCTCTGTTGTCCAAATATTTGTACATGGGGCTCTTTTTCCAAATAAAACAGAACCAGATGCCACCAGCTCAGTAGAGGCCAGGCCTTGGCACCAGGCAGCAGGCAGAGGCTGGGAGGCTACGCGGCAGAGGCAGGACAGGTGGAGTCGGCCAGAGATTGCAGCCTCCGTCCTGGGCCTCTGGCTGCTGGTTAGATAATCTCTCTTTTTATTTATTTATTTTTTTTCAGTATTGAAATTTGAGCCCAGGGCCTTTGTACTGTGCTATCTCCAGGACTTTTTACTTTTCATTTGGAGATAAGGTCTTGCTAATTTGCTAAGGTGCTCAGGTTGGGCTTAACACATTCACAACAGGGCTGCAGTTCTTGATATGAATGTGTTACGTTCCCACCGCCTGGACCACTGCGGGTGCTTCCATGACTGTCCCACTGGGCGGCTTGTACCACACTGGTGGTACAAATGAATCCAGTCACCTTCATAAAATTAATGAGATTGACTGAATCTAGTTAGCTGCTTGAATTTGAATAATTACTACCCAATGTAAATATTAATACTATTCATATCATTACCGTAATCAACACATTGATTTATTTCATTAAATTAAAAGGAAGAACATTCACTTGATAGACGCTTATTTCTTTCAAGGATCAGCAAGAAAAGCATGCATGCGATGCAGAGAATGCTATGAAGAATTGTCTGGAAAAGACAGGTGCTGAATGATATGCTGGTTTGTGCACTCTGCACAAATGAGCTGCCTTATCTGTAAAATGTTTTAGGGAAAGTCATGAGTGCAAGTAACATTTGCCATCCCGCGACACGCCCTGGGGAGAGCACGGCAGAAGGACAGAGCTGACGTCCTGCTGCAGCTCTTTCCGTGGCCTGGGTCCCAGTCCCTCCCTCCCCATGCATCATGGTGGCTGGGCCTCCCGACCCCAGTGCGCCTTCTGGTGTGGCTGCCCAGAGGGACTGGGGCAGGACACCTGACTGGGGCCGAGGGACCGGGATACGGCCCCCTTGGCAAGCTGGGGGGAAGCTTCTGGGGTCCCACCCTCCCCTCGGAGGCTTGTGGAGAGTCCAGCTGGCTGGTGGGAGTTGAAGGAAGAGCAGGATCTGCAGAGAGGTCCAGAACAGGGTCTTCCCTATGCTGTCAAATCGTTCTATGAAATATTCTTCATAAGTAGTTTTTAACTATTCAGGCACCCTCTACTCTAACCTTCTAGATTTAGTCTTTGTAGATTGTCATTTAAAAAAAACTTTTAGTATTTGCTTTGCATTCTTAAAAAAATAACACATATAGATGATATAGATACAGAGGAATTTTAAGAAAGATAGCATATAGAGGGGACTAAAGAAAATTGTCTATATGCAAATTAGGGCAGGCTACCTACAATTAATAGATAACTCTCAAATTTCAGTGGCTAAACACAACACACTATTTTTTGTGCTTGGTGAAGTCTAAGGCGGGAGGCATAGCTAAAAGGTAGAGTGCTTTGCCTAGCGTGGGTTCAGTCCGCAGCGCCCACATGCGTGTGTGCACACACACCCATCCATTCACACAAAACCCTTCTATCACGAGCTATAGCTTCCTGGTGCTTTGCTCACAGCCAGTTGATAGGAAAAAAAGACAATGAAAATTTTGCAGCCCAACATATTTTAGATTTATTTTTACTCATATCCCATTTGTGTGATAATAAGTTTTCCACAGATTTAAAAAAAATGCTTGAGAAAATCAAATTGAAGGAGGAAAGATTTATTTTGTCTCACGGTTTTGGAGGCTTCAGTCCATGGTCACTGGCTCCACTGCCTCTGGGCCAGCAGTGAGGCAGAAACATCACAGCAGACTGGCATGAATGAACACAGCTGCTTATTGAGTGGCAGACACAAAGAAGGAGGAGAAGGGACCGGGTGTGAAATCAGTCCTGAGGGAATGACTTGGAACCGTTCCCTTTAGTTAGGTCCTGCCTTCTAAATTTCCATCACCTCCCAATGACCCATCAACTTATGAACCCATACACAAATAAGCTTTCAACATATGAGCCTCGGGGTAAGTTTCATATCCAAACCTTAATGGCTGGCCAGAGTTGAGAATTCATGGCCATAGCTAGCTGCAAGAGAGGCTGGAACATGATCTCTAACTGTGTGGGGGAGGAGGAGGGATGCGTTCTAGTGAATGAACTGCAGTCTGTAATACTCCAACTGCATTACCCTGAGAGAAATGCTACTCAAATTTTGAGGGATCTCTTTCTATTTCTTTTTTTGTGCCACGTACATATTGCGTGATAGTGTTTGGCTGGCCCAGTTTCTGGGCGGTCACCTTAGATGCTTGGAATTTTCCAACTGATAGCAACAGTTCTGGTATGCACGAGGTGGGGTGTGGTCCTTTGGAGCACACTTGGTAGTTTATGCTAATGAGGTGGCTCATGCCCTGGTAGTTTATGCTGGCTAACAGGATGACCCAGGTAGGGGCTGGCCTTGTTACAGAGACCAACCATGATGTTCACGTGATTGGAGGATTGAGACTTGAGTTACCAATCATCAGCCCAGCCTCTGGGAAAGGGAGGGGCTTGGAGATCAAGTATAACCATGTGTCCATGATTCAGTCAATCAAACTATGTCATTAATAGAAACCCTGGACACTGAAGCTCTAGTGAGGTCCCTGGTTGTTCACACCCTCTGGGTGTTGTGGTACATGGTGTTGAAGGGTGCTCTTTCCCTGGGGATGATGGAGGTTTGCATTCACCCTGTGCACCTCTTCCCATTCATAGCCTGTTGCCACACTAAAGCCAAGATCATGAGGACAGTGCCCTCTAGCAATCTGTGCATCTTTTTGGAGAACTGAGGCACCTGGTGGAGTCCTTGGAGAATCTCCTAAGTTTGAAGCCAGCTGCTCTGAAGTAAAAGTAGCTCTGAAGGCCTCCAAACCTGTGGCTGGAATGTGAGTGGCGGGCAGTTTGTAGACTGAACTTTAAAGCTTGGCCCTAGTGGGTACACACAGAGACGATGGGGACACACACACACACACACACACACACACACACACACACACACACTTATTGAAACACATGATTGACAAAGAGGACCTTGCACTTACAAATCCTATTTTATAAGATGCTCCCCCCTTCACTTGATTATTGCTTCTGACATCTTTCCAAGAATTTGACCCAAATTCCCAGTGAGTCTGGTAACCCCGCCAAAATTTTGGGGATCCACTCTCTTTCTCTAGTCTGGGACAGATGGGACCACCTAGCCTCAGTGTCTCGTCCCAGTCTGGTTCCCAGTCCTGCACCGGGCCCTTGTCTCTGACATCTCTCAGAAGCGCCTTTGCAGGAGACCTGCTTGGTTCCCATGCTAGGTGGGGGAGATCAGGCCTGTGGTGAGCCCTGCGGGGTCTGGGGTGCCAGGGTGCTTCTGGCAGGAGCCACAGGCAGGATGGGGAGCTGGAGCAGACCAGGTCCAATGTGAGCCGAGCAAAGGTCCAGCCCAAAGCAGACACAGGTGGGGTCTCACACGGAGCTCCAGCTGCTCCAGCCTCCAGCCCTTGACATGCTGAAGTCCTGTAGCTGCTGTCCCAGTCTCTGTCACTCTGTCCTCAGTGTGGTGAACATTCAGGCAGGGGGACAGAGGCACTCAGAGACAGGGAACTCACACCAACCTGTGTCACAAGCAGGGCTGGACCAAGGCGTCCTCTACACCAGGCCTTCTCACGCCCTAGCACCCGTCAGAAGCACCTGGCCAGTCTACTCAGAAGGCAGATTCCCAGGCCCCACCCTGCAGATAGCATCACCTTTAGGACTGGGTGCGGCCTGGGAACCTGCATTTGGCACCTGTGCCCTCAGGTGAGTCCCACCCACATCAGTCTCATTTCCTGTCCTTTGTCCTCCAGGCTCAGAGAGGGTGGGTGACTTTCCAGTGTCACACAGTGCACGGCAGCTGGAATCAGGTGAGAACCAGACCAAGAACCTGCCAGATGCCACATACACCAAGTTCACGTCCCTTGAAACTGAACAGTGAATTCCAAAGGACAAAGAAAGTTAAGAACTGGAAAGGTTGATTGGGGAACAGGAATACTCCTGAGAGACAGGAGGGGTCCTGGAGGTGGGTTCACCGAGGCCCTTTGTCAGTGACATTTATACAGCAAAATAACACCGTCGATGCACGATGGGTCAAACAGCCACTAACTCGCAGGGTTACAAGTACAGCTGCTCAGCTATAGTGGCCCAATAGGGAATCTAGCACCTAGCAAGCATTCATGGAAAGAACAAAGGCATCTTTGGGAAGGGATGGTCCAGATGCTCTGGTCATCCACCCGGGGGACCACGTGGTACTAATTACAATGTAATTCCAAGTTACTGCTCTTCCTTAGGGAAATGGTGTACAATGATCATTGTATCTCTATCTTGAGACCTGGATCTGTGTTCTTCAAATGCCCCTCCAGCCACAATTCTTATGTTGCTATTTTTCTGCTGACTTCCTTGACAGGTAACTGTTCTCTTTCTGGCTGCATATTGATCTACCTAATTCAGCTGCCTTTAATAGGGGCAGAGCTGACGATGATGCATGGGGAGAGGCCGAAGAGAAAGATGTCACTGTGCCTGGCGTCCCACCAGATGTTCTTTGCTTTGAAGATCCTCGATTTCCCAGAGTTCCCTCGGAAGATGCTGATCATTCTGGGGTGGGAGCTTCCCAAGTTATCGTAATGAGTGCATTAGTACCGCCCAGCTTCCAGCACTTTGGATAGAGACCGGAAGCTTAGGACAGGGGTTCCTGGATGTGCAAGGTTCTCTGCAAGGCTGTGAGTACAAACCAGCTTCCGTGCCCATCTGCTTCAGATGTCCTGGTCCAGAGAGCTGGGCACCTTGCTGTCAGCCTGGCTTCTGTTTGGCGCTAGGCTCTGCAGCTCCCGGCTCTGTGGCCTGGAGCAGTGTGTCACTTACTACTCTGAGCCTCAGTTTCCTCATTTGCAAAACAGAATTAACACTAACACCTGTCACTGGGTTGCTGCAAACCCCTGAAGTGGCCTAAATCCTTAGATCTGTGCTCTGACCGTGAGATGCCCAAACTCACGGAGGTGCAGAAAAATCTAAAGCCACCCTCCCTCTCTGGGCCAGAAGGAGTGGCGGCTCTGAACAACCAGCTTTGTCTGTCCGGGACTCCTGGCCCGCTGTGCCCAGGGGCTCGGGGCCCACAGAGCCACAGAAGGCTGTCATCCCAGCGGGGGTCTGCATTCTTTCTCATCCTTGGCATCTGGAAAGTCATCCCGCTGCCCTTTCTTCTCCTTAGGAAACAACAAAGCAGAGCCCCTCCTGGGAGCAGCCTGCCCTGCCCCCAGCAGGCACAGCAAGGGGGCTTCCTGCCTCTTCCCCTGATCGCCATGACTTGCTGCCCTGCTTCTTTCCCTCCTGTCCCCGCTGGTGGCCTGGCAGAGTGGCAGTCCGTGGGAATGCTCCTCAGAGCGCCAGGAGCAGACAGACAGCGCCAGGGCCAGGCTGTCACGTCATCGGTGCCTGTGCCCGACTTGGACGCGCTGACGCAACGTCTGGCGGTTTGGCGCTGCTTTGGGGCCAAGCAGTCTAGTGGCACGTGCAGGACTCTGCTGCCCTGGGCGCCAGGCTGCTGCTGCTCAGGGAAGGATGCTCGAAGCCCAGAGGTGAGGATGGGGTGGCACAGGGGCAGGGATGAGGACAGAGGCCATCGTCCCAGACTTAGGGACACTGGAAACCTCTAGCCTTGGCTCTCACCTCAGGAAGCCGCTGCCCCATGTCAAGTCCCACAAAGGCAGCCATGGTCTTGTCTGGACAGTGGACAGCACCTTGACCATCCGCTCCTGCAGACCAACCAGTACAGCCTCCAGCCCCACCTCGGACCCCTCGAGTCTCTCTACCCCAAGGAACGCACCTTTGCTGTAGAACAGGTAAATGTCAATAAGAAAAAGAAAACACCTTTAACCTACCATTTACAGAAAGGCCACTGCCGGAAAGGTTTCCTGCTGCATTTCCTGCCAGCAATATAAACACACACAAGATACAGGACAGTGCGACTCAAACTGCCTGTAAGCTTTTGCCGCAGTTTGCCATCGCCACGGCTGTTTTCCCTTATTTTTTTACGAAAGTTTAAAACTTGCAACAGGTTGCAAGGAGCACAGCGGTGGCTCAGCCTAAGGAGTTCCGAAGTGCCGACAGTGGGCGGCTGTGCTGAGAAGTAAATGGTCTCGGCTCACAAAGCCCACGTCATAGTTCCTAACCTGCTCCAAGGCATCTTGGCCCTTGCTGGTCGTGTTCTGTTTAGTGGCTGCCTGTTTTCAGAGCTTGTGGGTGCTGAGGTTGTGTTTGCCCATCCCTCACCTGCAGGTTAAGATGGTCTTCTGTGCCCAGCATAAGCAACAGTTGGTGAATGTCCCTGTCTTTTCTTTCTAGACACCTGCATCCTTTTTTCCTTCACATAGCGTTCCTCAATTGAAGGATGCAAAGCTTTGGGTTTTAGACAGCGTTCAGTGTTGTAAAGGAGAACGACCTGATTGATGCTCCACCAGCAAGTTGAATGCATTGGTATTTACTGCGGGCTTTATTTTAGGGGTGCTTCACCTCACCCTCAGGAAGGCCTCCTAGAGATTTAGAGGTCATGTTGGGGTCCCCTGTCCATGATCCTCTTTCCCACTTCCTTCAGCCACTTCCTATAGGAAGTCTACAGAGCAGAGGAAGCCTACAGCACCCCTCCTCCTGGGAGCTCGGGATGCCGGGATGCCGACAGGTCCTTGCTAGACAAAAGGATTTATGGTCAAATCACTTTGGGAATCAGGAAGTCAAACAAATTCAAGAAATGTTCCTCGCTGTGGGACTTCTCGGAGCATTTAATCTGCTAATATGCATTTTTCTTTCCAGAAAGAGCCTAGAGGAAGCAAAATGTCCCAAACTTGTTTGACAGGGGACTCTCAAATGCAGAACAAAGAACTCCTGGTCTGTGGAGCTCTCTTCTCTAGCACAGTGCCATTCAAACTTTTTAAATCCCATGAAACACTTTCTTTAGATTATGTTCTGAGAAATTTCAATTTGCATGAAATAGATCAAAGCAGGGATGAGACACACAGGCCCCTGGAGCCTGTCCTACTCAGCAAGGCTTCCAGGGAGAGATCTGAGGACTCCCGGGGAACACAGTGGCCCCAGCCTTGTGTCTTCTCCTGACTAAGAGTAATCTGCAGGCTGAGCGGAGGGGGAGGAAGACGGCCTGTGGGATTAGAATCATCCCCTCGGCAGTGTGGCTCAGGCCCTTGTCTGGCTGAGGGTTGCAGCTATCAATATGATGCATTTCCCAGTGCCCAAGCAGCTCAGGTCTGGGGCATGAGATGCACACAGATGCGTGCAGAGAGAACAAACACAGAGGTCCATCATAAGGACAAGGGGTGCAGTGGGCGCTTGCTTTCCCCTGCCATGCATCGTCTCCCTACACCACTCTGGCTGGACACCCATTGTAGCTCTGTGACCCCTGCTGGCTGACCCCGCACCTTCTGGTGTTAGTGACTGGTCTGGGCAGACAAGGCTCCTAACCTGGCTGATCAGCTTCATTCCCTGGGACTCTAGGGAGAGGTTCTCTTTCATATGGGGACCACAAAATTGGGGGAGCAGCTGACTGGGATTCCATCTTCTTCTTCCCTTTCCCTCCTGGTGACATAGAGCTTCTCCATCTATAGCAGGAAAGGGCAAGGATAGTCCCCAGGATGATAATAGACAAGAGGCTGATACCTTTCCTTCTGGGAATCTGTCAAAAGTGTAGATTTCCCAAATCCACGAGGCAACTCATCCTCCCTCAGGTGCCTATACTGTGACCTGAGTCCTGTCATTTGTCATCAAAGATGTCTTGGACCAAATCAAGGGGCCAGGGAGGAAGAGGTCCTTTCCAGCTGGAATCACCAGGGAAGGCATCTTGAAGATACTGAACTTTAACTTTGCTTGGGAGGGTGGAAATTCCCCAGACACGGGTGAAAAACTACAGATGAAGGGGATGATGTGGGAAAAGACAAGAGGAGGGGGGTTATATATAACAGCTTGACTGGAGGACAAGGACATGATGGGGAGGACAGCTTGGGACCATCCTGTTGTCACAGGCAGCAGAGTTAGAAATATTGCAGGCCACGAGACAGTCCTCAAAGGAGCCAGTGCAGAAGCCCAGATACCTTACAACTAGGTGGGAGACAGACACTTCCGCTGTGGGCCAGGCCTCAAGACAAAGGATCAAACAAAGGCACCCACAGACTGCTATTCTAAATAGTTCCCTATCACCCTGAGGAAGCCAGGAGTCACCATCCCAACCCCTTAGGGAAGAGTCACTGCTCCCTAAGAATGCCCACTTTTTACAGGACTTGTTCCCTCATTTGTCCCCAATTTAATCAATTTTACCTATTAATCTTACTGGCTAACTATAGCTCTGTCCCACCTTATGCCCATCTGCCTTGTGAGTTCCCAGTTTTCCCCACCTTGAACCCACCTCACCCCATGATTTTACTCTATAAATGTCCCTGGAAAAGACAGAGTCCCTGGCAACCCACTGGGGACCCCTTCTGTCTCTCTCAGACAAAAGCTTCCTTTCTCCTAGTGCATAAGTTCCGCTCTTAACCTCTGTTGTTCCTAAAATTCATTCTTCCATTTTAGAGAACACAAACTCATAGTGGACATAGCCGGTTTCATTCTCCTATATCGCTGTGGGGTGTCATGTTGGGGAGACAGACTTCCATGTTATGGGATGACAAGGGGAGCCCCTGCAGGTGACTCAGCATGGAAGCTGGAGACAGACGGGGATGGTAAGGTGCGGGCGGTGCTTTAGGAAGACACCAGACAGCAGGTGGCAGGTGGGACATCTAGGACAACAAAGAGCAAGCTACCCCGCTGGGTGACTAGGAGCACAGAATGGCCACCAAAGAGGAGGCTGATCGCTGATCTGATCGGGATAGCAAGGAAGGAAGCTCCGCCTCCACCTGTGACCCAGAAGGAGCGCAGGCTGGGCGGAGGAGAACACCCCCCACCCCAGCTACCAGCTGCTTTGGACCAACTGCATTGTTTGATTGACTTTGCAAGCGTAAAGCCGAGCAAGTGTTTGGAGGACCACCATATGCATTATAGTAACTTGTAGATTTCCTGCTGTCTCATCACTGCTTTGACTCATTTTATTGCTCTGTTTTATTCCCCTTAAAATTAAATTTTAAAAAACTGAAAGAAAAAAAAAAAGGATTGCTACCAAAGGAACAAAGAAGTATCCCCAGCTTGGGGATGGGAGGGTAGATTGGATTAGTCATGTTGATGAGAGGAAGCAATAACAGGCCTGTTATTGGGTGCTCTCAGAAGTCATGCGTTGAACCCCTAACCCCTGTGCAGCTGTATTGTAAGTGAGGAAGTAGCCCCAGTTTAAGGAGGTTACAGACACGAGCCATCATGGCCATTGGTATAGTGGTTAAGCTGGCACCTTGGCCTTGGACATCCCAGCTTCCAAAGCTTCCAAAGCTTCCAAAGCTCTTGTTTGAGCTGCCCAAGTCTTTGGCATTTGGTTGGAGCAGCTCAAGCCAACTAAGACAAGACCACAGAGGCCATGAGGTGGAGACACCCAGCAGGCAGCTGGGGATGAGTGTCTTGGCACAGGCCTCTCTTGTGGGGGACAGAGCTCTGCCTGTCCCTGGTAGCTAGAGGATGAGGCGGGTCCTGGGGAGCCAGCACCCCAGAAGGCAGCCTTGATGAGAAACACATTCCTCTAGTTAGTTACGATGGAGTCCCTCAAGAAGAGGGTTGGGGAATCCTGGGTCTGGAAACTGGAGAGTTCAGGGAGGACATGCAGTCCTGGGGATTGCTGGACCCTCGCAGCTGGAAGCGGCCCCTCTCCTGAGGTGGACTCTGCTGTTGGAAACCAGGGACACGGACACTTCCTCAGAATTCTAGGATACTCAATTTAAGCTTGGGTGGTCACCTGACACCCCTGAGTGCAAACATGAAGGGCACTGGTGTTGTCCAGAAAAAGCGGAAATTGCAGTGTATAACACACTTAGCGGCTGTGGGCAAGTGCTCAGGCACCTCAGCCTCAGTTTCCTTGTTTGGAAAACGAAGAGGAGGGAACAGTGTGACGTGCCTGGAAGGGTGGGTGTGTGGGGTCTTGTGCCCCAGCTCTGACACCTGCTAATGGGGTCATCTCAGCCGTCTTGCACAGACCCTCCTCGGCACGGACCCTCTGCCGTCCGGAGCACCAACTCAGCATCGCAGCTGGCAGGCGTGAGCTTCCCAGCAGCAGGGCAGGCGGTGACTGCACCCATAAGCAGCCATGGGTGGGAGACGGGAAGAAGGCTGGTGGGAGCAGAACAGCCCCGGGAGCCAGAAGCTGTCCCAGCTGTCCCTCCCAGTTCTGCTTCAGAGGTGCAGGGACAGCAAATTTTGTTTGACATCTTGGCTGCCATCCGCCTTTTACGAATGAGTGACAGGACCTGGACTCCCTAAGAAGGGGGACCTCGCCTATCTCGTTTGCTGTTGTTTGTGTCCCCAGTTTTCTCACACCGTCCCTAGCGGGTTGGCGTCTGACTACATGGGATCCCTTCCTGCTGAACTTCACAAGCAGGGACTCAGGATCAGCCAACGCTTCTGGCGCTGACTGTTATAACCCGGACACGCAGAGCCCATTGTTGCAGTGACAGATCTGCAGGTGGTGACTTGTGTCCCCTGTGAGCCTGCAGAACCCAGCTGTGCTATTGCTGAACTGGCCAAGCCCGAGGCGCCTCTAAGAGTAGGAGAAGAAAGAAGGGAGGAGAGTGTCCCCTCCTCTCCTCGGCCCAGCACCATCCAAGATAAAGCTGGAGGGACTGTGGTACCTGATCGCGTCTAAATATTCAGTTTTCCTTCTCTTTTATTTGCAAGTGCGCCCCTTCCAGTTCGCGCTGTGTGTGGCTGTTCTCCTCCGAGGACCTCCCAGGAGACTCCTGGACCTCCGTGTTGCTCGGGGCCAGATTTCTGTTTTGTTCTGGCTCCCCTAGATCAGCCCCCTGAGCGAATCCTCATGACCA